AAAAAAAAAAAAAAAAAAAAAAAAAAAAAAAAAAACGTGTCAAAACCTTTTTTAATCAATCGTTTTCTTTTTACACATTTTTTCGATCCAACGTTTATAGCCTCGTATTTTGGAAATTTGTACTCATATCTTGAAAACTCAGGAAGCAAAATATATGGCTAGTTCTGGATTAAAGTTTTCGAACAAAGCTGTCCTTAAAAATCAAAAAAGTTGTTTTTCAGCCAGCAACCCCCTAATGTTTTGCAGAAAGAATTTATGCCGATTATTCTGGCACTAAAGAACATGCGAAGAAACTGCGAAATCAGGAAGGATTTGACTTCGAAAAACCCGATTATAAATTAAGTTATAACCAACATGGAACTCTGCCAACATCGATCAACCTCTCTCAAATAAATCAAAGAAACGAGTGTTATATTCATTAGGGTCAGCTATTCTTAATTTGGCGTGAGATTTTTTGGGAGCAAATACCCTTCATTCTGGAGAAATTCCAGCGGCTTTGGCACAATGTCAATGTGTAATTTGGAGAAATCCGGGGATCATCCGAGTGAACCTCGTGAAAGTATGGTAAACTTCTAGGTATCTTGTGTAATTGATGTGGCAGCTGTTGTTTATTGTTTGCTAAGGTATTATTGAGTTTAAAATTTCATGATTCATTTCCATTTTCACTCGTAATTCTAGCCAAAGTGTGAGAGTAATTTTAATATTTACGTATACTTTTTAAAGTATTACTGCAATAACTTTGTTAAGTGCCCATGTACCTTAGTCCTTTTTTTTGCTTAATCTACATTCAAAGTATTTTAAGGAAATGTAAAAGAAAGGGAGGTGGCGGCAGAAGTTTTGAAAAAGGAGGTCATGAAATGATAGGAGAAAAGAATACAGTCCTTTAGTAGATAAGAAAAGTTTAAAAAGTACTGCCAGAAAAGTAGTAAGTGAACTGAAACGATCAGGAATGATGAGAAGAAAAAGAAGAGTATTCTGTGTCTAATTTCTTAAATTTCTATTTTAGCTGTCCTTTTAGTAAGCTTTAAAAAAATATGAAAATACGTATACTTCTTTACGCAATTACTGCAGTAAAAGTGCGCATGAATGTTATTTTTATTTTTCTCCTACTGCAACCTACACAACTATTTGTAAACAAAAAAAAAATTGTGGAAAAAAAAGTAATATAGGCCATAGGCAAAGCCATGAGGTTAGTGAATGTGGAGGAGTACCTAACAGGTATGGAGGAATACCTAATAGCGGGGAGAGGGGAAAAAAAGGGACGAGAACGACGAATAAACCGCCGCTACACAGACTTAGGTCACATTTGTGAATAACTTCACCGTAAATAGTCCAGTATTTGTAAAACGTTCTGATTTATTTGTAAGCAAAACTTCTAATAAAATAAACTTCTTTTAAAAAAATGTGGAGAAACATGTACTGCTTGAAAAAAGAACCTCAATTGAGCATCAGACAGAAAAAATACAATAACCAAACTTAACTTAAGCATATTTCTTTAATTAAATAGTGCAATATTAAAAAAACTACTGCCGCCAAATGAGCAATAATTTTGCACATTCACACAAACACTTCCTTGAATCAAAGAATGAAAAAAATGTAGTAGGTCGATCAGCAAAAAAGTTATTTTTACTCGAGAAGTAACAAAACTCGTGAACTAAACTCGTGCAAAACATCTACAAGAAGCTGAAAAGAAAAGAAGAAGCTTTCCACATCTTCCTAATAATCGAATATTGGTGGAGAGTTCATTTCTAGAGCTTTCTAATGATTAGGGCTTATACCGGAATAAATGTTTCGGAAGGGAACCATAGCCGTTGCAGGATCAATGCAACTTTCAGTTAAGCCGTTAATGTCCTTACCAAGT